TCGAACTGAGACTCGATGAAACATTAGCACACCTTACATTCCAACATAAGTTAAGCTGCGTGCAGCATTGGAACAGTCCCGTATCGAGCGACATTTTCAAAAGGAATTATATGTATCACTATCTTTTTAACCACTACATGAACCTATGGGACGAGAAAAGCATGAGCTTGTAAGTTATTCTTGTTACGTTTGGATTTCAAACAGTGTGGTCTCGGACCCTTAGCCCGCTGGCAGAGTACAACAACAGTACGCAGGGTAGGATAGATTTATTATGACTCATTCACAATCAATCGTGTCAAGCGTTCAACAAGGCAGCAATAGAACTAACAGCCAATCAGAATCATGCCCATATCGGCCGGCAGTATTGGCATAGTTGAGTGCGTGAGGTCGATCGATCTGAGTAGATATCAATCGATAACGTCCCTGGAACGAGCAAATTATCGATGCGCAGAATGGCGGAACGTACGCACTTAAGCCGCAGGCACGTATGCAACAATTCCCGTAATAAATCTTTAATCTTTGACCTTTGACTAAAACGGGCTCCAAATTTTCCCGGTTTCTGCAATCCTGATGTGGCGATTCTAATTTGCATGTGGACAGTAGGTACTGATCTGTGGGACGCGAAAGAACTTACCAATAATTCCATCATAGCTGCGTTCATGGTTTCTCGAGGGTAGAAAACGGAGTGTATCCATATTCAGGTAAAATCACCCCCGATTTACTCAACAGAGTTGACAACTGTTGCAGCAAATTTTTCATTCATGAGTTTTGTTTGATCAAAAAGAGGTTAACCTTCGTCTTATAAATATAACTGGAAAATCATCACCAAATTAGGTTTAGAAAGTGACACATTCAGATAGTTCTGTGTTTTTCAAATTGTAGTTTCCTACGTTATCAACACGTGTTGACCAATTCCTCTCCCTAAATTTGCTTCGTTGTTTTGATATTCGTTTATGCGTTTACAGTGCTAGACTGCACAGACCCCCCCCCCAGTTGTAGTTCAGGAGTAAAGACAAAACACTTTTACGGGTGCTTATAAAGCGGTTCATTAGACGAGAGGGAAAATCTATTACAAATCGTCAATAAAATTTCGTTGATGGAAGATTATGAGCACTACCAAAACGGACAGATGCACGAGATCTCTGGTCTTAGTAAGGCAATCAGCCAATGGACAGCATCAAACAGATATACCGTATGCATTTAGTTCAAAGACTTGAACACAACAGCACAGTAGTGGATTTAATGGGATAGTTATTCAATAGGTTCTAACTGTTACCATTGGATTTCAATGTACGGACCACTTTGCCTATCACATCCAAAACTGTCACAAGCTTTGGAGGATGAGTGTCCCACGTGACAGTTTTTCCTTATTAGGAAACATTTTGTGATGTTTGACAAATTCATTACAGTTGTTTCGGCCGTTCTGGGACCCATCATTACCAGAAATGAACCTTTTTTCTAAACTGCCGAGACTCGCACCGCAGATCTACGGGTTCTGATTCGAAACCCACTGTTTTGAGTCATATTTCTTCCACAACTAGCTCCTCATTGTCGGGGATGTTTGAAGGCTCTAAGAATTGGCCATAGTTGTACCTGAATCAGTACCGAAGAATGTACGAAAGGAAACCGAATGTTTGATGTTTTTGCCAGATGTGACATTCAGGTTTCATGATTTGTATCGGAGCAGGTACCGTTTGGTGAAGTAACTATCACCTCTCTCCGTTTGCCAACGAAAGAAAGTTCTATCAATTTCTTCTTCAATAAGGGTTACATCTCACTTCTATATCTCCATCTCCGAATCACGTTTTAAAATCTCTTTGTATTGTAACCATCGTCTCCGGGAGAGAAATTGTATCGTGATGTGAAACATACTCCGAGCAATTTCCGCATTCCTTTGTGATCAATAGTATGCAACCATTATTCCATCTCCCCTTTGACCAGTATTGTACACCAAATTGGTTGGAATGATGAAAACTTGAAAATTAGACAGCGAGCCTGTTCACACATCAACTGTGCTGTTTCTTTTGTGCTTCTATGCCTGTCGCCAAGCAACCGCAAAATATGCTACCCCATTCTCACATAGTTCATTCAGGTCCACGTAGATACATGTAACGATGAGACCAGATATTTGTTTTCATTCAACCTCAAGACAATGCACATCGCCATAGTGATGATAAGTTAATTGTGGAGGTTAATAGGTGAATCCCCATTGTTTGTTAAAATGTTCGTTTATCTTTCTCTCTCTCTCTGTGTATGAACACAGGAGCTATTGTTCATCAAAGCCTATGCGATTGGTGGGAACGAAAAAATTGGACAACAGTCAGCCCCCACCATCCCGGCGATAGAATCTTCAGCTGGGAGTGTTATATCATCTAGAAACTATAGCTCTAAAACGCAGTCGTATCCCTGTTCTGATCTGGGTGAGTTCTGTCTGAATAGGTGAATAATTCGAGTGATTCCGTTAGAGTCCTAGTGGAACGAGGTAAGGATACTTAAAACTCAACCCTGGTGGAATTGTAATTAAAATTCCGGATAATGTGTGCATTCTCTAATATCTAGATGCCATTAGGTTTTTATGCATTATGATAACAATTTATTATCCTTATGTCTGTATTACCCATAGCACAGAACATTTTATACTAAGGCTCAATCCGCATGTGTTATTTCCAACAGTCACTGCTCTCTGATTTGACTATGTTCCTTGAAATGATATTTTGCCATGAAATACTGTCAACCAAGGAACTTCTCGCAATTGCATCAAACTGACGGTATCCATGTGGGTAAATTATTCCTTACGTTTCCACCTAAATGCTGATTAGGATTTAGCAGGATGGTGGACCCAGTCAGATGAAACCCCATCCAGTTTTTTTGTAAATATCTTTCTTCACTCGTTTTATCCAACTTATTTTATCTAAGGTAATTATTCAAACAAAAACACTCAAACTAATGATTATTGACGACAGCTGTCCACAGTTCTATAAATAGTTTATTTCATAGGATAGTGTTTTTAATGTAGTCGTCAATGCTATAAATATACGTATATTTGTTTGATCAACATAGTGCTAAAACAACTGCACAAATAGTTTTCGGCAGTGGTGTGTTGTGGTAAATGTAAATACTGGCCAAACCCAAGAAGAGAGAAATTTAATTCAGGATACAACCCATGATTGATTATGCGACACAATTCGGAATTTGTTGCCCAAAAATCCAACTCACCATAAGTGAAAAGAAAACTTCGTTTATTAAACGCTGCTTATCGCCAAATAAGTGTAGCATGACCATATTATTCACGCATATGCCAGTTGCGACATTAGAAAAATCAGCTGTTTTCGTTGACATTGAAAATTGTTCCCACATGAGACATTTTACATCTAGTATCTAGTATAAAAAACTGAATTAGATGTACCGGGCGGATGTGTATTCGAATTTCATCACCACAATTGACTGACTTTTTTCATCATGTGTTGTAGGGCATCCCTCTGATCGACCGCTTCTTTCTTCCTGGAAATCGTTTCATTACATTTTCACTAAAAGAGAGTAAAAATGAAAAGAATTAGACGTATTGACCGGTGAGTGTGTGTGAGAGAGAGTGTTAGTCAACGTTCACTGGTGTTGTACGAAGAAACTCAATTTCGTCTCGACTAAGAATGTGTTTTCACATCTGAATATCCACCGGTTCATAAAGGCTCTTTAGACCAAATCAAATGTATTGAACTGTATTATTTCACTTTGCTCGATCATGTATGTATGAGGTTTTAGCATTGAGAAAAGAAGGGGGGACAAGTAACCTAATCGAAAGAAGAAGGCTGTAAGTATCAGAATTGAAGTTTCTTTAAAACGTCCCTCTCCACTTTATCACTGTCGATCGTAGTGCCTAATACGTGGGGAGATATGAGATTTCTAAATAGAGATTTAAGAGAGGGCAGAAGTGCAAAGCTGCTCGAGAGGGGGACGGGGGGGTGGATTTCGATGTGATTAGTATTCAGATGACTAGAAANAGAAAAACTTTAACTGCAAAGGAAACAAATTATCTCGTGTTAGACTCCGACGGTGGGATAGCGGAAAAGCAATTTATGATCGCAAACTCACTGCAGATTGACGGGAAGATTGTCTTGAGTAGACGAGGTAATACTGCAAGAAATAACGTGAAGAACGAGCCATCATCTTTTGACCGTCACTAAGTTTGATCGCCATAGAAATCAAAAAAATAAATAAAGGGATTTAAAGATAGTGCACTGAAAGTGCTCGAGAGAGAGAGAGAGAGAAAGTAAGAATATGAAGCAGTGACCGGAAAAAGTCGAAAAAACGCGTGCAAGAGAAGGAGTAGATACAGTAAGGATATTTAAAAAGGTTCAGGGATAGTCTAGAGTTATTGAATTCATAGAGAAAATGTAGGAGAATTTATTTGAACATGTAGCGGTTTAGACATGATTAATTTCATTATGGTGTAAGATTGCAGCTCTTTGCCGAATTCCATAGCCGTTTGGTCATGGTCTTATCAACCTTCATAAATCGAGTCTTACCAGGTAAACAGTCTGTAAGGCTAGCGAGCGTATAATCAGGATAAAGAAAAAGCCTATAAGTGATTGTTTCCGGTAGTTTGTTGAATCGCGTGTTTATTCAACGAAGTGATCAACACATGTATTTTTATTGTGAACGATTAAAAGTTCACTTTTATTCTCTTAAGCTATAATGATACTGTCCTATATTCAATGGAAAATTCATCCAAACTATGTGCACATTGATCTATTGAGGAGTCAAGGCGGATTGCGGTTACATCAACCCGCAAAGAGTGAATACTTTTACATTGGAAACTTTTTGTTTGTTCGTGCGCACACACGATAAATTTTCAAAGTCAACTAGGGCAAATTTTCATACGCACCGTCCAACGTGCTAACAGGCTCTCCACTCCACGTAATTCAGTTAACACTTAGAGGTGAACCGTTTCCACAGATTGGCGGTGCAATCGCTCTCGAGCGAAGAATCAACCCAGCTTGAACATGGCCATCTTAGAGGCAAAACCTGATTCTGATGATCTCACAGAATTGCCTGAGTACGAAATCGATGAATTTGACGAAGGAGGAATTCGGAAAACGAATGGGAAAAAGATAAAATCCATCAAATCGGAAGAACATTACGATCAAGATTCTGCCAAGACCGGCAGATTTCATAATATTATCAGAGGTATGTCTAATTCTATTCGTTTGTTTACGGAATATTTCGCAGTGCATTAAGTCCTTTGCACCTTTTCTATTCGGTTCTTTTATCATGTTCAAGGTTATATAAACCGAGATGTATGATACCGTGCTAACACTCATGCTTTACATACGAAGGGTTTGAAGTTTGAATTTCTAACTAAATGACAAATATAAATTACTGATGCGCTCGTACAAGAGCGAACCTCCAGGTTCATACTTACCGAGTGTATAGTTGACTGGATTGTGTGTGTCTGGTGACGATAAAATATGAAAGTTGTGCCACTAAAACCAAATTAGTTAATTAGTTTTCCTCATACTTTCTGATTTTCCACTGCTCGGTTGAGAGATTTTCCCGTCATTTCAGATCTGTACTGTTATTTTGGAACCACCTGTACCCGCAACTTGTCCAAAATTTAAGAATACATCCCCCGCAAAGACTTTTAAACGTGTTTTAAGCTGTTCTAGCTCATCTACTTTGCGTGAAACATTTTCATGTTTTGGAAACCGATCGTCCAATCACAAAAAAAAATGATTTTGTTTCCAAAATATTTTCTCTACGGCTACGAGCCTTTAATCCTCATTCCTTGCAGCCAATCATACACTTGGAAGCATTAAACTGTACCATTTACAATTCAAGTTGTCTGAATATCACTTCAAGATGTCTGGTCATCGATTCAAGATTTCCGGGTACCATTTCAAGTTGCCTGAGCAATAATTCAGACTGCCTCGTTGACCGTATCGGAGCTACCGGGCTTCCTAAAGATGTCTGGATGCAGCATAAACTTTTCAACCTCCCGTTGAAGCGCGAGGATGACAATTGTGTGACATGCATCGGTCACACACAACATACAATTCCCATGACAAATCTAGATTGGTTACCTTGGTAGTAAGCGTACATCTTCCTCTCTTTCTGGCAGTGTTCGTCCCTCTCTCCCTGTAAATTCAGATCAGGCCATAGTCCATGATACCAATGAATCATGCGCGATCAAAGCTTGAGCCACTGCTTACGTCTTTCGCATGATGCTACAATAGAATTCGTAAGCTACGCCTCAAGCGGCTGCAGTATGATGCCAATCGATTGTGTCCGATCGATGTACTCATCGGTGTTGGCCGGANNNCGGATTCATATCCAGTTTGCGCGACCCTTGAAGATGATATTCCATTTCTGTGTTTTCACCACAGAAGTACCTACAAAAATTCTATCCTTCAAGTACTGAACGATTGAAATGACTAATTAGACCATATATCCGGATCGGAATGAGATATCTCTTGCAAACTGATTGCGATTGAAATAATGTAACGAGGGCTGTCGGAATAAACCATGATTTTTTATGCTAGTAGTGAAATTTTATAAGAAATTCTAGGTTCACAAAATTGAATGTTTTTCAAAAGTGGAATTTTCTGAGTAGATATTCTAAATTTGATAATCTTGTCGCTGAAAACAAGTAATCTTATTGAAGCAGTTCCACCACACAAATTATGCCGGTTGAAGTACGGCTAAGGCATGAGCCAATGCAAACTGTCTTCGAACAACCTTTTTACACCTCATCGACCGAGAGTACTCATCGTCTCATTTAGGATTTTAAATTCGTACCCATTGCATGGAAGGTGCTTGCGTGTGTACTGATCATCTGGTTAAATGGGACTAATCAGAATTCCAGATTGAATTTTGTTTCGAGTTCTCCGTCAATGGCAGTCAACCAGTCGCCGCAACTATTAGTTTATATGAAAATATGAAAAGTTAATAAGGAAACAATATAAGGCTCAGGTTCAGCGAAAGTAGCCAGTGTCATGAAACCCGATAGAAAGAAAAATACTTCATTCTTTCAAATGAAGAGCGCAACGGCTGATAGTCTTCCACCTGCAAGCAATTTGAAAACCGTAAACGATGCAACCCTTTACAAAGGTATTACCATCCCCTCCCTCGATTTTTGCAGTAAATCCCCTTCCATATCATTATTCTTGAGGAACTCTAAATCATAATCAGAGCAAGGCCAAGCCATGAAATTTTATTCATCAATCTTGTATCGAAATGAAAATATATCGCGAAATCACAGTGTACGTTGCGACAAACCTATAGCACATTTGGGCCGTTTTGTCGCCAGGTGCAATGGATTTTGCGCATCGAAAACCCTTAAATACTCTGAAATGAATCGTAAATTTTATCTGAGCAATAATTATTTTCCTGTTCAATTGAAAATGGCGCAAGTTCATGGTTTCTCTTCTGTATCCGGCAACCTTTTCGATCGGGCTCAAGTATGGGCTGCGTACAACCACGTCACTTTTATGACAAAAGAATATGGACTACCATTTTAGATGCGAACAAATAAACAATGCACTTATTTTTGAACCGAGTTGGCTGATTAAAGTTCAAGAGGCATAAGGTTTTCTACTCATTAGAATTGATTATTCACATTGAACAACTTTTCACTTAGATGTTGTTAAGATACTCAAAAATGACACCCATGTGGGCTAAAATTGCTGAATTAGTAGGAACCCTACGGAAGGGGAGAGAACGTTTGCACACTGTTGTGTTGATTTC